AGCTACACACTGAGGCTCAGTCCTGCCTGTTCACATTTTATTCTGTAAAAACTAAATTTTCACTGCTTTTATGACCTTTTTAGTGGGGAGAACATAGCTAGGATTTAATGATTTAACAAATCTTTTGAATCCTTTGTCCTCCACAATGCTAAATGGCTGGGAGTCCTCAATCACCATGCTAACCAGGTCTTCATCTATTTGAGATTGTTCTCCTGAGGAAAGACAATAAAAACAAAGCACAAATATAAATATCACACACGTAACTTATAACAGTTGTATAATATTGTTATATCATTTAGTAACATTACTGCATGCTATATTATCATGGCATTTGATGGCTCACCTGGTCTTGCTCCACAATCGGTGTTCCCCTTATTCTCATGCAAAGCTCTGTAGTGCCTAAGCATGGATGTTATATCCCAGCTCCCTGGCACATAGCAAACACTTCACCTTGTACAAAAGTAAAGCCGCTTAACATAAATTGTATTGCACCATCAGTATTATGAAAATACATCTTCTGTAGAAATTTACATACCTTGTTGGGAGGAATAAAATCAAAATGTTCCCACACAGGGGAGGACATCCTCCTCTTCTTAGCTGGCTCCATTCTCTCCTGACTTTCTCTCCTCACTCTCATAAACCTCCAAACTGTCTCCAAACTCTCACTAACCGCAACTCTCCATCAAACACCCACATTTTGAATGAAGTCTGAGGGGTTTATATCGCTGTTGAAAGACACATTAGTCTAATACACCCACAGTAATTTTTAGTAGAAGTATTGGTTTATTAATAGTATCTGAGGGGTTTATATCGCTGTCATAGTGACTCTGCGGGTGGCAAAGATTTCGTGAGAAACTCGTTATGTCGTGTATGGCGATGATCATCTTATCGTCACTGTAGGGTTGTACAGCTCGCCGGGAGGAGCTGAGGCTGTCGGGACGTACTATACATATTGCTACTATTGCTCTCTTTGATATGCCCTGATAATCATAGATGTAGAGATCAAGCGGTACTGTATTCATGCGATCAGACATCGCGAAGACTGCGCGCCTATCTCTATTACGTCTACACATCAAAGGCATGCATAAATGTACTGATCTTGAAGTGCTCGGATATCAATACTCAGTCGTCTATGCTATACACTAATCAAAAAACAGAATCTTATCATGAGTCTTATCTTAGCTTTGCGCCTCACATCAGTCTAAGAACGTGTATTTAACCTGATTTTATGTGAAGTATAACTTGAGTTTTGACTAACATAACTACCACATAACGATGTCATAGTACTACAACTATTGTTATCTCACGTCTGCCCAGGTTACTTACAGCGAAATTAATCTAATTTTGAATTGAAATGGATCAGAGTGAAAAGACTGGCGCCTCGAGCTAAGCCAGGATAATTTATGATTCTAATCTCCATAAATTGTGATTTTAAATGGTTTAAAAGCATGTAGAATAGCATATGTAGGCAAGTATATTTCTCCGCTTTTTATTAAGAAGCAAAAACAAAAAGGAAAAAAAAAAAGAAACAGGGCAGGGTTCAGTGGTTGAATCATCCGTCCCCACCAATGCCAAAACCAAATCTACACCCTTGTGGGTAGTGGATCTAGTCTTGTGACTCTGCGTCACCGTCTCCTGTCTGCAGTGACTCAGAGTCAGCTGACTGAAGAGTTGCTGCTGATTGGCCTAGGCTGACAGAAAAACAGTTAAGTTTAATAAACATGAAACGCGTCAAAGATCAATAAATCAGTCAGACCTGAGAACTTGGACACTCGTTTTGAAGTTTTAAACTTTATTTAAAATGTCCCTGAGTGTTTACTTGGTGTTTTTAGAGATAAAGGTTGAGTTATCAGTTGAAAGGTTTTATTGTCCAGATTTCAGGACCAGGTTTAAAACGCTTCAGTCACGTGAGCATATCTTTGGTTTTGATTGGAGAGTAAGCAGCAGAGCCCGAATGATTGATTTATTAATCCAATCCCCGTCAGCTGTGAGCTCTGATCAGTCCGCCTAATTATTGATGATTAGTTTCATATCGAAAGCCTGCTCTGTGATCAGGTGTTGAAACCGTCTTGTAAGGATGACTTTGCGATATTTTATCATGAACTTTAAACAGGTCACATGACTCAGGGAAAGTACCTCATTGGAAAGCCGCTGAGTCATTCCTCGGTTGCCATTGGTCCTGTGGGCGGGACTCTGAGAAAAAGCCAATAGAAGGCCGAATCTGTGTTTACTTCCCTGACGTCGTTACAGACGTCGTTTCCCACGTTTGTCGCGGAAGTAAACATAAAGGAGAGCGAGAGATTTCAAAGTGCGTCACAAACTCACCAACTCCCGGACCTGGACACCTCTCAGCGGACATAGACATAAACCCGGCCTCCGGTTGACTATCAGCGAACAACACGCAGACATACACCCAGCCTCCGGTTGACTATCAGCGTACAGAGACACAGGTGTACCCGGTGTCAGCGGCAGGATGTCGGTGACTGTTAAGGCCTACCTGCTGGGGAAGGACGAGGCGGTGAAGGAGATCCGCAGGTTCGCGGTGGATCAGGACGTGTCCTGCAGCTTCGAGTACCTGAGCAGGAAAACTGCGGACGTGTTTGGAAACCTGAACAACTTCAACCTGTTTTACCGAGGTGAGCGCGCGGGGGTTCAGATGAGGGATTTACACTCTGACCGCTTCCTGGATTCTTATTGATTGTTTTAAGTTGTGACTGTGAGAGTGGGGACGTAACTGAGTTAGTGCGCAGGCGCACACTCACCTGACCAGACTCACCCGTTTCCCTGTAAACACATGAAACCGTAATCAGTTGTCGAATTAATCTTTATTTATAGTCATGTAAACGGACAAACACCCTCAAAGTTAGTCTGGAATTATAAAGTCACCTGCAGCCTTTGTAGTTCACCAGTGTGTGACTAATGATGATGATGGTGTTGCAGATGAAGATGGGGACCTGGTGGCCTTCTCCTCTGATGATGAGCTCATGATGGGTCTGGGGTGCATGAAGGACTCCACCTTCCGCCTCTTCATCCGAGGTATGTTTGCGGTTTGTATAAATGTTATTGCTCGTGGTATCCGTCCTCCAGCTGTGGTAATATAGCTTCATTCTTACAGAGAAGAAGGAGCACAGACGGGACTTCCCTCTCCATGCTTTCCCTCCCTTTGCCTTTGGGCCTCCCCCTCCCCCTGCTGGAGGTCCTCCACCTCCCCATGCTGGAGGTCCTCATGCCCCACCCCATGGACCACACATGGGTCCGCCTCCTCCTCATGTGGCCCCACCCTACACCATGCACCCCAACGTTACCTGTGATGGCTGCGATGGCCCTGTGATTGGGACCCGCTTCAAGTGTTCAGTGTGTCCGAACTACGACCTCTGCTCCTCCTGCCAGGCTAAGGGGAAGCACACTGAGCACGCTCTACTGCCCATTTGGCACCCACTGCAGGTGAGTTTACCTGTGCAGGTCTGCAGGTGTCCTGTTCAGGCCCTTCAAAACATGACTGTGAGGCTGTGTTTTACAGTGGTTTCCTCGGGGGAAGTGGATGAAGAGGATGAGACACTGCATGTGGAACCAGAACCAGGCTCAGAACCAGGACAACGACCCGGACCAGAACGAGTCTAGCCCTTCCAAACCTGCTGCTGATGCCAACACCCCCTCTGGTGAGTTCTGCCATCTTGGTTAAAGTGATACTTGATCAATAAGTCAGATCAGAGCAGATAAGGTCAGGAAGCGATGTACAAGAGGGAAAATGCAGCAACATTTCAAAATAAAAAGACCACGTGCGGACTGAATGGTCATGACATCAGAGCCGCGTTTGTGTGGCCCTTTAAACATCCTGTCACAGCACTAAAATAATGTTTTGTGTGACATCTGTGTGATTTTAAAACATCTTTTATTTCTCCCTGCAGGCTCTCAGACCAACGTGGACTTCCTGAAGAACATTGGCGAGGGCGTGGCAGCCATGTTGAGCCCACTAGGTGAGTGTCAGTCTCATTTAAACAGTTGTTTGATGCTGTAAGGTAAAGACTATGATGTCACTGTGTTTGTGCATGTGAGATGAGTGAACATCTCTAGCTGGCTCTAAAACAGGAAGTGGTGTGTGTGTGTGTGCTTTACACAGGTATCGATGTGGACATCGACGTGGAGCACGAGGGCCAACGGACCAAGGTGACCCCACCTACTCAGAGTGGGGGGGGTGAGGGCGATGAGGAGATGGAGCATACTAGCAGTGAGGGCGGGGCCAGTCTAGGAGCAAAGGTAACTTTTAATTTTATAAAACCTCAAAGTGCTTCATGATGTAAATATCAGAAGAAAGAACAATCAGCTGATCCTGACGGGACAGCAGGGAGGAAGAACTCCCTTTTAACATCTCCTGTGACCTTTTAGCGTGGTGACCCTCAGGTGAGCAAGGACTCTGATGAGGAGTGGACCCACCTGAGCTCCAAAGAGGTCGACCCCTCCACAGGTGAACTGCAGTCCCTGCAGCCCGACAACCAGGAGCAGGGGCCCCTGTCTGAGGGGCAGGCGGGCCCCAGCGGGCTGAGGGAGGCGGCACTGTACCCACACCTGCCTCAAGGTAAGCTGGCATCCACACTCTGTGACTTTAGTTCTGTTAGTACTGACCTCTAAACCCTGCTGACCTCTCGCCCTCAGAGGCTGACCCCCGCCTGGTTGAGTCGCTCGCCTCGATGCTATCGATGGGCTTCACTGACGAAGGCGGCTGGCTCACCCGCCTCCTTCAGGCCAAGAACTTTGACATCGGCGCTGCGCTGGACGCCATCCAGTATGCCAAGCAGCCCCGCCCACACTAGCACTGATGATATCATCACAATGTCACAACATGCATCTGATTATTTCTGCTCTGTTGTCTGAATGATAATCAATACTGTCCATTAATCAATGTTTCTGTTCTCTTTATTGATCATCATATAAACGTTTCTGTGTGAGCAATAAAAGCATGAAGAAAAGCACAGTCTGTCAGAGTCTCCTCTTTAGAAACACACAAATGCACAATCACTCCGGGAGACGTTTAACAAGGAAGTCGTCGTCAAAGTTAAAGTCCTCGCCGCTGTCGAACATGGAGGTAACAGGAAGAAGAGGGCGGGGCCTGCTGATTATTCCAGAGCAGGAGGGAGCAGCGACACTACTTAAAGACTGACTCCACTCACCAACTGCAGGCTTCTCCCCCTCCTGCACCTTTGAGTCAGGGCTGAGGAAATTAGCCCACCTGGTGGTGAAGAGGGTGGGGCTACAGGTGTTTATGGTTGAAGGTGTTTGGAGTTTCATACAGTTTAGCTGCAGAGAAGAGCAAAGGTTAAAGGTCAAGTACATGAGGAGGCATTCTGCTCTTCTCACAGTCTGAAGGTCATGGGTCTGAGCGCTGAAGGTGAGCAGCTCTGTTTACCTGTTCAGATGTGTGGACATCCTCTGGTCCTGCTTCCTCGGCTCGCTTCCTCTTCCTGTCACAGGTCAAAGCAATGATTTCAGTGTGATTAGTGATGCTGAACTCTAAGAACTCTTTGTGAGCCACTCATCATGAATGAGTAATGAACTGCTGTTCCTCCAAATGTCTTTAAAAACAAGTCTAAATTTATGTGGGATTTTCTCTGATCCACACAGGCTCAAATATGTACGCAAACCTCCACTGATATTTGGTTTAATGCTCCTTAGCAAGTTCCACATCGACCCCATGCTTCAACAAGCCTCTTTTCTAACAACATTCACACATTCACACTCAGATGGACGCATCGGAGAGCAACTTGGGGTTAGTATCTTGCCCAAGGATACTTGGCATGCAGACTGGAGGAGCCAGGGATCAAACCACCAACCTTCCGATCAGTAGGCGACCTGCTCTACCTCCTGAGCTACAGCCACCCCACAGATAAAGATGAAGGCGGTAACCCCAGCGAAGACTGTTTCCTTGAATCTTATTGAATTGAAACAACTAGAAGCTCAGTGTTCCAACATTCACATGTTAGGGTACAACACATATGCTACGGTAAGGTTGAGCCAGGACAACAGGATGAGATTGGGTACCAAGCCCCAAGTGGGATGGAAGAAGGATAGCTGTGAGAGGACCTGAATGACAGGATCATGGCGAGGCTTGAAACCTGGATCCTCGAAAGATCTACCAGATGACTATCCAGCTGATGCTTGTACAGGTGTTCCTGTAGTTCTTCTTTTATCGTCACTCTGTTCTGGCCAAAACTTTTAAAAATGCTGTACAAATAAAGCTGACTTGACTTAAATCTTTCAGTAACTAAGTTGAGCCGGAGGATCAGAGACGATCCTAAATTAATTCAACAGTTCCTTACCCTAACATTCATGCCTGTGATGATGATGATGCCTCCAACAACACCTGTCAACATTCACCTGTCAGTCATCTTGATGCCATGGAGCTGCCTTCGATTTCCTAAATCCTTCTCCTCAGGCTCTGCCTCATCGTCTTGCTCCACCTCCTCAGGTGTGTCCAAGTATTTGCTCCAGCGGCTCACCGGTTCGTCTGTCTGCTCCTCATCCTCCTGCTGCTCCTGCTCCCTGTAAACGGGACAGACCTGTGAAGACCTGGTGGTGTTAAAAGACGGCGGGACTACAACACACAGTGGAACTGAAACCTGGTTACCATAGTGACCAAGAACGGTGCTCTTGCTCCTCCATCATGGCTCCTCTCATGGCGTTTAGTTTCTGAACGTGACGTCTGCAGTCTGCCGCATTGCCCCGCCCAAACTCCTACCGATCAATCAGATGAGATCGATCAGTCAGAGGATAAACTAAGAGCAGGCTGGTAAATGCAATGACGTCCTCACACTGAGCTGTTTATGTGACCTCTGATTGATAAGAAACACAGTTTACACATTAATGACACCCATGAACCATCCTGCGTGACACCCACGAAGACTAGCCAGAGAACAGAAAGTACAGCGATAAAGGTTATTCAAAGCAGTAGGGTACGAGTGAACAGAGTCAACACGTGTTTTCTTTCTGTTTGTTAATGATCAATATAAGGTTTAGAACTAAAAAATAAAAGCATGAATCGATGATATTGTTATTGATAAAGCGACTGATAGATTCTGACCTTCAGCAATGACTGTTTCTCTCCACACAGTTTACAGCTCCACTTTCTCGCCTTCTTCACCTGTCAGACAAAACATAGGGCAAAGAAATAAATGGACCTTATATTGATCTTCTGATTTTTATCCGTGATTGTTATTGTGATCCGTAGCATTATTGATAAACGATCAGCTGTTAATATCAGTGCCCTAGCCTATGTACCTATGTAAAGTGTTGGGAGTGTTTACACTGTAAGGGTGGCACTGTCACTTGGTGTTCGCTCTCTCTGGGGTAGAGTATCACTTCCTGTTCCTGTTCTAACACACAGTGGTGTTTTTGTGTAGCTTATCTGCATCTCCAATTTAATTCAAACTTCTAGATAACTTATTTCATAGTGTAATCTTCGCGTGCTTTGTGCAAGTGACAACACTCTGTGTTGATTCACCCGCTAATGGTTTTCACAGTATTCACTCACTAGCTGTGTCCCAAAACGTAGACTGCATCCTTCGGAGGACCCGGCCTTCGCGGTCTACTTGGGCCGGGTCCTAATCAATAATATAAATCAAATTAATTTCAATTACATTTGGAGAAACAAGCAACATTATATTAGGAAGAATGATATAGTGAAGTCATTTGAAGAAGGAGGTTTGAATGCGATTGATTTTGAAGCAGTTGATGGTTCAATGGATGTTAACATATAACAAATTCATAGATAAATGTGCCATATCATGTACTCAAAGTAAATTCATTAAAGTTGTGAAAGCCATTCCCCCTGCAATGATTTAGATGGCTGGCCAGTTTAACCTATTCTTCCTCTATAATTTGTGTCCTTAATAATCAATGATTGCCAATTTAAAGGAAAGGCACGCAATAACAATTTTTTAAAGACAATTCTCACCAAACAACTTTTCCCTTCTCAACTAAAAAAAATATTTAGAGATTATAATTCAAAGTTTTTGACTATCTTTCCAATTCCACCTAAAGCAACAGAAAATCATTTTAAAATTTTAAATTCCATATATCCGTCCAACGACTATCTTCAGAAGAAATTCAATATAGATACAAACGCGCACTTTCTGCAATACTGATATTGAGACTACAGAGCATCTTTTTTATTCATGTGAAAGTTCCAGATCTTTTTGGGATGGTTTTCAGTACTGGTTAACCTCTAAAAATATTGACTGCACGTCTCTAACTTTTCAAGTAATTATTATTATTTGACCTACGAACAAAAAAAAAAAAAAATAGAATTTGGGATTAACAACTTATTTACAGTCGCAAATTTTTTCCATTCACAAATGAAATTACTCCGATTTTTGCTGGCTTTAAATATGAAATCCTGCTGTGGAAGGCTTCATTAGACAAGTGTAACCTAAATAAAGCTCACACCTTACTTGAATTTTTGATTCAGCTTTTTAATTGATGTAGCTAGATTGTATGTGCGTACCTTTGTTTTTTACTTTTATATGACAGGTCACCTTACCTATGGAAGCCCGTTTCCACCACTAAAAGAAAAAAAAAAAAAAGGATATTAACTCGAAATTTCGACTTATTTTCTTGAAATTTTGACTTCGAAATTTCGAGTTACAGATCCTTTTTTAAAAAAAAATTTTTAGAGGCTGCTTTATGCTGTTTCTGGCCTATAATGTTCTTTAAATGTTCTTTGTTCGACGACTGCTTTGTCCTCAACCACTTATACCTGTATGTAACTTTTTGTTGACATGTAAATTAAGAGCTTTAATTAATATTTTGTTTGACAATAAAAAAATAAATTAAAAAAACTCCTGGGATATCGTCACGTGTCAGCGCCACAGGAGCACCTCAGGTGACTTTGATTTTCTGGCGTCACACAGGTGAGCGTGGATACGGGTGCCTAATGTTTTGTCCACCATCACTGATGATGACTTCATGTTATAAACAGCGCGCGTTCACTGTGACGTCAGTGTGAGCCATCTGAGAACGGCTCCATTACTAATAAATACACTGATTCTCCAGCCTGAGAAAAGCACCTGCATGCTAACCCTGTTAGCCTCACGCTGTCCGCTCTCACCTGTTGCACCTGGAAGCTCTGACAGCGGAAACACCTGACGATGTGAAACTCCTGACCCATGGCCCCACGGTCCCGTTCTTCCGGTGTCCGTCCGGACTGTTCAGTTTTCGCGGGTCTGTTTCAACCCGGGTTCCACGTCACAGCTTGCGTGACAGCAGTAACGGCCACAGTAAGCGCGCCCCCTGCAGGCCGGAGGATGACGTGTTTCGGGGGCGACTCGAGGGGCTCAGCTCCCAGTCACATGTCAGGCGTATGTGGTCTTCTAATTAGTATTAGCAGAATATGCTGCTTGCTAATGTCGTCTGCGCCTCACATTTGAAAACAATTCATTCAACTGGGACACATGACAATGCCGTCCCCAAAAGCAGCCTTCTTAGTTTGAGGACTTCAGAATACTTTATTGATCCCTGGTGGAGACTTAATGTAGAGTCTAGGAAAAATCTCAATAATATACACAGGTTTTATAGTGGACCCTTTAAATTCAGCTCAGTTTAATTTATACATCATCAAATCACAACAGCAGTCACCTCAAAGTCCTTTATACTGTAAGACCCTACATTAATACTGATCATGCGAAAAAACGTCTTTTTAACAGGAAGAAACCACCGACAGGCTCAGCCTCTGTAGAGGAATACAGAACACAAAATGACTAATTAAGGGAATTGGAATAAGAACACCAAACCAGAAATCAGAATCAGGATTAAGAAAACAAAAATAAATGAAAAAAAGTTTAGGATCCTTGACTTGGGAAAAACCCTGTTTTAGAGTGACACTAGCAGCAATATCGCATGCCTTCGACTGAGAGTCGAATCCATCCAAGCACGCTCCAGGATGAGTCTAGTAGAACAAAATATCAGCATGTGACCTTATCTGGTGCACAGGTGAGTCTGACATCTCGTTTTACTTTATCAGGTGAAGTTTGGCTCAGTGGATTATCACCAGAACTGCAGGTAACGATTTTCCCACGCTCTGAAAAAGTGTGTCACTTCCTGCATCAGTGCTGAGGTCAGAGGTCACATGAACCTACAAACACCTGCTCACCAGTTTATCAAAACTAATCTACTTTAAACGTCTTTTCTGAAAGTGTAACTGTGTCATTAATAAAAATCTTATAAACCTGAAGTAAGACGATGAAGCACGAGACGACCTCTGACCTTTGAGCCTGTCATATGTTGCACCGACCCTTTAAATGATGACATATTTCTCAAAGATGACACAGCAGCGTAAGAACTTCCTCCAGTATTTATTAGAACAACAGATCAACACAGTGAGTTTAAAATCAGGTCAAACACATAAAAACACGATGACATCATCACAAACAGAGTGATGTCATCACACAGGCAGTGGGGAGAACAAACAAGGCTTCAAAGTAAGAGTCCAGGTGTAAACACACCTGGTGAAATATGGCGTCTTCATCGTTATTGATTATAAACCATTAGTACTGATCATAAATCTTTATTTCACAATAAAAGTCTGATGCGACTCACATGTGTTTGAGTCTTCTACAGGGGAACTCGCCAACCATTTATCGGTTTCTGTTTCCTGTTCACTGATTGGTCCTGCAGAGACACAGGAGCTGATCAATGAATAATTCAAAAGATGGATCTATACAGCATTGTGGAACACTTCCTCCAGCTCCTTCACAGTAAAACACCTCAGTCACAATATAAGGGCTTTTATTGTGAAACATCTAAAGGAAATGTAGACCTTTAACAGATCAATGCGCTTAGTGATTGATCAGATTGTCTCTAATCGATAAGATCTGAAACACTGAAACAGGAAGTTTAGTCTGCAGGACCCGCCAGCCAATCAGAGTCACTGTAACATCATCAGAGAGGCTCCAGTCCCATGATCCACTTAGCTGATTACATCGGTTACCTGTATGGTGCACATGGACAGGTGAGGGAGGTGCTCAGGTAGAATGCCGCGTGAGTTCATGGTCGGAGGAGGAGCTTATCTGGCGCTCCACTACCCGCTGAGCCTTGCAGGCGGCCATTTTGGCCTGGATGTCCCTCTTCCTTTCAAAGTAGTCGACAAGCGGCGGCTCTGTCAGCATCGAAGCCAACACCTGCTCAAAGGTGATCGACCAATCCGTATCCAACACGCTACCCTGCCTCTGCTCGCCGCCCCTGATCAGCACCGTGTCCTCAGCGATATCCTCGCACTGCAGCGAGCCGGCACTCACCACCGAATATGAAGACACTGACGCATCATCTTTTGTTTCCTCGTCGGACATCTGAGGCGCCACCACCTCCAGCTGGGCGTCAGCCAGAGCTTGGCACACTTCGGACTCACCAGACGCCCCGTGACCAGGCCCCTCCTCCTCCCCCTGAGGGCTGTGGGGCGACGTCTGAGCAGAGAGCGAGGTCTGTGGCGTGGTCTCGCGCTTCTTGGTGCCGTTGTTGAACTTCTTGCCCACTTCACCGATGCGCAGCAGCAAACTGGCAACCGTGGCGATGGCGTGATAGAGCTGCTGCTCAAGAGCCTCCTCGCTGAACATGTTGTACAGAGTTTTACACAACTCAATGAACTGCTCCTGCACGCACACACACACACACACACACACACACACACACACACACAC